AGTGCGAAAGAAGGGGGGGGGAGGGGAGTGAGGGAAGGGGGGAGGGGGGGGGGGGGGGGGGGGGGGGGGGGGGGGGACAAGTAGTCGGGAAGCCTGTGTTCATTGTGCATAATGAACTCGCACATAAACTGTTGGGTGTGATGGGAAATATTCCCCGTCTCCTGGTTGTTTAAAACTGGACTCCAACAAAGGAGACAGTGATTTCCTTTGAGGTCAAAGACAATAGAAGCTCACATGCTTCTGATTATTCACGTCTCAGATATAAGAGCTGACCAGCTTTATCTAGATAAACAGCTGGATTTCATTTACTCTCCCCTCCCCCCCCATCCTCCTCCTATTTTGCCTGTTTATTCTTTTTCTCTGCCCACACCATCTACCATGACTCGGCTCTTTGATCCCGTTTTGGTTTCTTTCGCTCCGACTGCCCTGCATGCCCAAATTCAGCTCCACAGATTTCAAAAGCGTCCTGGTATTTGACTATCAGATGGAGAAAGTGTGTGTATGTGTGTTGCGGGGGGGCGATTTGGGGGGGTTATAAACTTGATAATGTCTCCAAAGTTCCCCCATTTGTTTTCCCCTGGATTAAATGTATTGAAACAGGTCTTGACAGGCATGCAACCTATCTTCAGCTTTAGCTATTTGAAAAACTCTTTATTTTTCTTCAAAAATAAGTTTCAAATAAAATAATTTAAAGTAGCACATAGTTTGTGCAGGTAACTGTCTCTGCACAAAAGGGTTAAAATCATTCAGTCAGAGAAATGCCACTTCAGGTAACTACACACAGCTCCTCCTCTTCCTCCTGATCTTACTTGCAGTCGAGCCTCTCGATCTCGAAGTGAGGGTTGAAGTTGAGGACGATGCGCTGCGAGGTCTCCGGCGCCTGGATGACCCAGTGGCAGTTCTGATGAGGCGGGTACTCCAGAGGATAACCAGGCGAGGTGATGTAACCGGGCTTGCTGGCGTCCAAGACGCCTCCACAATCTGAATCTGTGGTGAAGACGGAGCACAGAAAGAGGCCGGTTATTCACCGTTCAAACGCTCACTTTGAAGCATTTCCAATATTTCCACGACCGCCATAAAAAAAAAACGCAGTTCATTTCTTCTCGGTGCGACGATGCGATGAGCAACAGATGAGCACTAAAACAAAGAAAGCAATTTAGGCCTTCAGTTTGGTGGAAATTGAAAAAACTTCTCCATTGTGGATTCTCAATGCGCTACTAAAACAATACAAGATGATGCATTTATTGGAACACACACACACACACACACACACACACACGCACCCAAGCGAGGAAACACAGTCTTTTATCCCCTCCTTCCACACCCAGCCTCTTATCTCCATCCTTCTCCCTGGGGAGCGTTCCTCCAAGTGTAATTGTTGCTCCGGCAAGCCAATCTGCAAACATTAGGACACATTCCCCGATCCTATCGCGCTCTCTCAGGAACAATAGCCTGCCAATAGCATCGCTTGGAAGGCCGAGGCAGGAAGTGACACGCAGACGGCCTGTCTAGCGGGGTTCTGAGGGGGTCACCCCGATTCTGCAATAAGAAGCTAACGCCGCAACAAAGACTCCTTTCTCTGCTCGCACCCTGACGGCCACAGCAGCTTTGGCGCTTTGCGTTATCTCACGCAAACACATAAACTCACAGGCACAGACAAAGGGAACATGTATAGCAGTATTCTGCACATACAAAAGGACGAGAAGCGAGCGCGTGCGCGTGCACACACACACACACACAGCTCTGGGCATGGCCGTTCTTTTATTACGTTTTATTAAAGCAGGAGACATGTTCTCCATGACAACAGCAGGAGCTGGTTTATTGTAGCTAACGCTGTTACGGCTGCATGCATGTGGGTTTGCTCATGCTCCAGTGGGAACTGTAAATCTAATGAACTTTATATTGAACCCAAACACCTCCACATTATTATTATTATTATTATACAGCTGTTGTTCAGTGGCAGACAAGGAAAACATCAAACAGATGAAGGAGATCTGGCAACAAAAAGCCGTTAATGTTCTAACTTGGGGTTCAGGAACACGGTGTGCCTCCACTAGTCAACAGGAAAACCTACCGATGGCTTGTTTGTCTACGTGGTACACATAGTTTTGTGTTATTCAATCATCCCTACCTTATTCTTACTGCCCCACCCATCCTTCCTTTTCCTCCAGTCATACTTTCTACGACTGGACCCCTTTCATCCAATCTATGATTGGATGAAAGGGGTCACTTGGATGAAAGCCTCGTCACTTCTTACAACTTCTTTCCATCCCAAGAATACTTTCCATCCGTTCATCCCATTCATCCTCTTTGTGCCTTTTTACAAAACATTTTCATCCCACTTGTCTCCCTCATCCCTCTCCCATATGATCTTTCATGAGATCTTCCTGACGAATCTCAACCTTTCACCTCTCTTTGAGGAGAAGCCTCAGTCATGGTCCTTGCTGTTGAACTGATTGCTAAACACTGTAGTTGAATTAAAAATGCAGCCGCCTACAACTAGATTTAACCACTCAGCCTCCGTAGTCCAATCAGCTCTTGACATAAAAGGGTCGATTTATTTATTTTGCCAGTTTTCTTTCAGATTTCTGCGAACAATTCAATAGAGAATGAAAGAAAAGGGGGGGGGGGAATACAAGCACCAAAGGCTTGAAGTGTAATAGACCCTTCAAGTGTTGGCATTTTCACCGTCTATTGTGCTTAAAAGGCACACTTAAGATTCTCTGACATTTGACAGAGCTGCGATGGCTTTCTTACTTTGCTACCAGAGAGGAGCGACGCCCACGCTTTGCGCATCAGCCCCTCGCAGCTGCCGGTGATTTCATGCAAGTGCGTGACTCCGGCTAGAAATGCACGCTGAATTGCATGCATTAGCACACACCCAGCTGCTGCCTCATGTTCAAATGCACACCCACGAAGGATGACACCTTTGAGGGCCTGTCGATCGCAAGGACCAGCAGAGGTGGGGAGCGGGGTCGGGTGGGGGGGGGGTCAGCAAGCAAAAACTGTTCAAAAATATAGCAGGGATGGCAAAGAATGGCTGAGACAGACAGGAAGCCTCACATGCACACACAGACGTAGCTTTATCTGGTGTGACTGTGCAGACAGACAGTCATTGTTGAGAAGCCCATGGAGGGAGGCTATCGGCGCTCAGAGCCTCAGCAGATTAAGCCCTTTGGGGAGAAATCCTGCAGCCTCAACACTTTTTTCCCTCTGAGCTGCCCATTGAGCGGCCTCCAAGGAAGGTGGGGAGAGAGTTGGAGAGTGGAGAGAAAGGGATTACAGTGGAGAGAAAAACTGGTGGAGGAAGAGAGCGGGGATGAAAGGGAGGAAGAGGGAGACGAGCAAGGAAGGATGGATAAAAGACGGATTGAGGCGGAAAAAAGGGAGACGGGGATTGATCGGGAAGGAGGAGGGTTGATTTATGATGGGTGGGTGTGGGAAAAAAGAGCATGGGAGAGAGGACGGGTGAGTGACAGATGTGTGAAGGAAAAGGTGATGAGGAAGTAGAAATTCAGACGGTAAGGTGGACGCAGAGAACCTGACGAGACTCATTAAGACATGCCTGCGCTGCGGCGGCTCCCTGTGGACACTGACCCCTCTGTGAAACCTCTGTCAGCTCACACACACACACACACACACACACACACACACACACACACGCATTCATACACATATGCTCTATATTGACAAAAGGTGATCCAATATTTTGAATAAAATGAAACACAAAGACGGCTTCGGCAGGCATTTGTTCAAGAATGCATCGCTCCAACGTGGCACCATGACGGGATGCCACCTGTGCAATACGGTGGCAAAAATTTATGAAATTTAGTCACAAAGGATTATTCCACAGTCAGATGTTTTCAAAATGGAAGCAACTGAGATTGACAACAACTCTACCACGCCATCAGAAGCTAAGTGACACGATGTGTCAAAAGCTGCAGGACTCCAAACATCATAAGACCTTCAGAGTATCTCAAGAACAGTGAAGACGGCTTCATGGATTGGATTTGCATTACCAAGTAATGCATTACCAACACAGATTACACCATGGCCACCACAACTCTGGTTTAGTAGACATGCTTGAGTGACGGATCAGAACAAATTTCCCTGAACTGGAAGTTTGGGAGACCCGCACTTGCCTGACTGCATTGTCAAGTGTCATTTTCGGTGGAGGTGGAGTTATGATGCGGGGCATTTTTCAGGAGTTGAGCTCGTCACTTCTTAGTTCTCAGAGAAAGGAACTCTGAATTATTGCTAGGAGATGAATTGAATTTATTGGTTCAAAAACTGTTCCTCAAACAAAGTCCTTAACGAAGCTTTCTCGTCCTACATCAGTGTCTGACTTCATGAATACACTTCAGGTAGAATGATCAAAAGCTCCCATAAAGACACTCCTAAAATCTTTTGGAAAGCTTTCTCAGAGGAGTTGAAGCTGCTACAGCTGCATAGGGTGTGTCGACAGAATTATAAACCCTATTAAGAAGGGAATAAAACTCAAGCTGATACGTATGTGAAAGCAGATGAGCGAATGCTTTTGACAATATAATCCATATGTGTGCGCAGTCATTGCCATATATCAATAGATGAGCGCATGCTCTTTTAATTTCTTGGTCATCTTTCACACTTAGTAAGCAGAAAGAGGCTCTCTTGTAGCACGCGTGCGCTTTGAGTGTTTTCGTCAGTGTGACTTGTAGGGAAGCACTCAGGAGCTGCCAGAGAGCCTCATGAATTACACACGTCTCATCTTGTGGAAGTCCATCTGTCTCCACATACACACACACACACACACACACACGCACACGCGCCGCATATGTTTCTTCCATACAGCCACCGAAACCTTGTTACGCCAGAACAATGACGCTGACTGCGTCCGCACAAGGCGAGTGGTGTTTGCAGAGGCACACCGTCGAAATAAAATTAAAATCTAGCAGAAGCACCGTGGACCTCTCTGTGCTCCTGAAGCAGCTGCACAATCTAATTTTAGCAGATTGTATCAATGGAATAAGTAAACTCACTCTTTGCATGTGCGCACATTTAAGTCACTCCCAATCAACTTGGACTGGGAGATGTCTTTATCTTCGTTATCAGAGAAAATGTGCAAATGTCTGCATGTCTTAGCCCATGTCCTGCCGTGTGTGTGTGTGTGTGTGTGTACATTCATGCTCTCATTCCTATTGGCTGCCTTATCAGGAAAGCATGGCTTCACGCTTTGGGATAAGCTGCGAGAGTGAGGAGGAGGAGGGCTGATAAAGCCCTTCATCATTCTCGTGCCCATACCCTCCCAGCCCACCACCACCATTACCAGCACCTTAATTAAAATGTGCTATCACCCTGAGAGAGGGAGGAAGAGGGCCGAGTGGGCAGCAATCACCCATTCAGTCAACAAGTAAGGGCTGGATTTAATCTCAGACATTCTGGACTGAACCAAAGCAGAAGAATCTTTGTGAATCAAATAACATATTAAAGAAGAATGAGCGCGACTTGGAAGATTATATCAGCCTACATAATCCTACAGAATCATGGGGGAACGACTGCTGACTTTCATGTGGAAATCAAGGACCCAGAGTCAGGAGGAAGGGAAGAGATTCGCAGATTCCTTGAAGTTCGAAGTGAGGCTTCCACAGCCGGTTCTGGTCTACCAGGAAGTTTTAGAGCATTTCAGGCTTCCTTGTGCTTAAAACGTTTATGGAGATGCTGATTTCATTTTCCAGCAGGACGACACTGAAAAAGGTGCTAAAAGTTGGTTCCATGACCAAGGTGGTACTGAGCTTGATTGGCCAGCAGACTGGCTTGACGATGCAGTAATTCATGCACAAGGAGCAACAAGCAAGCACTGAACTCATGTGCTACAGAATAGATGGACATCATTTTGAATGGGCTGACATTTTTTATGTAACATTATTATTTTCTGAGACACCTGTAGTCATGCAGAAAAAAAAAAAAAACAATCAGCCAAAGAGAGAGATTTATAAAGCGTCTTGAGG